TAAACTCTTAACATTCTAAGCTAGTTAAAGACACGACCTATCACTGCCCTAGCTCAGGTTTGCTGTAGATAAAGATAAACGATTATTTTTCATATTGAACAAATGTGTAATCAAATTGAATATTAGTTGAGAAGATCCACATTAGATGTTTAAAAGATACATAAGGGGGTTGCCAGAAGGGGGATGTGCCCCCTTCTGTTGGGGGGGGGGGTTGAAGGTGGGCGGTGTCCAAAACGTTTGGATAACTGACTAAAACTTTCAGTTACGATATTTGGGGCATACCAATAAACCATGCAATAAGATCAAAGTGATATTTACCACGACAAAAAAGGTAATTTTTGTAATAACTGCTTATCCAGTTGTCTAGTGATTTGATTGAAAAGACATGTTTGGACATGATTTTCTATAATAAGATCATGACGAAAGTGATCAACCAATCAGGTAAAAGATTGCATCATACAACAGCCAATCAGATGCAAGAGAAAGTGGACCAATCAGAAGAGACTTTGATCTATAAAAAGACGGTCATTAGAGTTCTGACACTCGAACAAGAAACATGGCAAGCTACAGATGCAAGTGTAGTCTCGGTAATGAACGTTACGTACAATGGAATGAATGGAGAGGCGAGATGAGAGTAGACTTAAGGGAATGGCAAGGAGATAAACAGTGGAGGGGAGCACATTGTAGAATTTGTGTCGGGTGGTCCTTAATATTATGCTTATAGAACTTATAAAAACAACGAAACATGTAAAGTTAGGGGTTTCACATTAAATTATAAAAATAGCCAACTTATTAACTTTGAAAGTGTGAAAGAAATAGTTACAGATAGAGAAAGTGATAAAAGTATTATTGTAACCAACCCTAGTAAAATTTGTAGAGATAAAAGAAAAAGAAAATTGTATAATAGAGAAGAAAAGAAAAGTTACCAGATGGTGTATACCAAACGTAGAAGAATTGAACAATTTGATACTGTACCATACGGATATTAGATAAAATAAATGTAAAAGATGTTGTATTTGTAATAAGCATTTCTATTTTTGTCAAGTATGCTGCAGTTTTTGTCACTAGCGTTTCAGTTTTTGTCACTAGCGATTCAGTTTTTGTCACTAGCGTTTCAGTTTTTGTCACTAGCGATTCAGTTTTTGTCACTAGCGTTTCAGTTTTTGTCACTAGCGATTCAGTTTTTGTCACTAGCGTTTCAGTTTTTGTCACTTGCGTTTCAGTTTTTGTCACTAGCGTTTCAGTTTTTGCACGTTTACATGTAAATTTCCATAGGGTGCGTTTCAGTTTTTGTCACTAGCGATTCAGTTTTTGTCACTAGCGATTCAGTTTTTGTCACTAGCGTTTCAGTTTTTGTCACTAGCGATTCAGTTTTTGTCACTACCGTTTCAGTTTTTGTCACTAGCGATTCAGTTTTTGTCACTAGCGATTCAGTTTTTGTCACTAGCGTTTCAGTTTTTGTCACTAGCGTTTCAGTTTTTGTCACTAGCGTTTCAGTTTTTGCACGTTTACATGTAAATTTCCATAGGGTGCGTTTCAGTTTTTGTCACTAGCGATTCAGTTTTTGTCACTAGCGTTTCAGTTTTTGTCACTAGCGATTCAGTTTTTGTCACTAGCGTTTCAGTTTTTGTCACTAGCGATTCAGTTTTTGTCACTAGCGTTTCAGTTTTTGTCACTAGCGTTTCAGTTTTTGTCACTTGCGTTTCAGTTTTTGTCACTAGCGTTTCAGTTTTTGCACGTTTACATGTAAATTTCCATAGGGTGCGTTTCAGTTTTTGTCACTAGCGTTTCAGTTTTTGTCACTAGCGTTTCAGTTTTTGTCACTAGCGATCAGTTTTTGTCACTAGCGTTTCAGTTTTTGTCACTTGCGTTTCAGTTTTTGTCACTAGCGCTTCAGTTTTTGCACGTTTACATGTAAATTTCCATAGGGTGCGTTTCAGTTTTTGTCACTAGCGATTCAGTTTTTGTCACTAGCGTTTCAGTTTTTGTCACTAGCGTTTCAGTTTTTGTCACTAACGTTTCTATTTATGTTTTTGTTTTTTCAGTTTTTGTCACTAGCGATTCAGTTTTTGTCACGAGCGTTTCAGTTTTTGTACGTTTACATGTAAATTTCCATAGGGTACATTTCAGTTTTTGTCACTAGCGAATCAGTTTTTGTCACTAGCGTTTCAGTTTTTGTCACTAGCGATTCAGTTTTTGTCACTAGCGTTTTAGTTTTTGTCACTAGCGTTTCAGTTTTTGTCACTAGCGTTTCTATTTATGTTTTTGTTTTTTCAATTTGTGTCATTACTTTTTCTGTTATTTGTCACGTGTGGTGTGAAAAATGTATATTATTGAATAAAAGTATGTAAGAATATAATGTCTTTGTATCGCTGTTTCATCATGTATCGATAGAGCCGGTGCTTTACCGTTTTGATAAGGCGTTCCCCGTAGTTCGCTTTAGTTTCTGTGTTTAACGCATAGTAATGATGGATATTTTGTGTCTGGAAGTATTTCTGGACTATTTTACTTCTAAACTCCATACCCATATCCGTGCGTACTGTACTTGGCTGTCTAGCACCCAACATCATTTGATTTAGGGCATCCACAACATCGGTTCCCCGTTTGCTTTTTAGAGGCTGGACATGACCGTATCGGGAGAAAATGTCAACGGCTACTAACACGTATTTATAGTTATCATTTTGTTTGGCCAAGTTAGCCATGTCCATCAAGTCCATGTCCCATAAACTGTCAATGCCTTCAACAATGACTCTAGAACGCTTAAAATGGCGTGTAGCGCCCCTAGTGAGGGAATAGGATTCTTGATCTTGTAACCATTTTCGTATTCTGTGTCTACCGATGTTGTATTGACCCTCGGCTTTTACATACTGATAGAGTTTTTCTGGACCGGAGATATATATATAAAAATAAAACAAAAAACACAGTCCATGAGTTAACTTATTTAATTATTTGCCAACCGGTTTCTCTTATGATCATCAGGGCAAATATGACGTCGTCGCATAGTAACGACGACGTTTTTATGTACACATGTGTACGCATAATCTAAAAATAGTAATGTCATTATATAGTATTAAGTTTTGGATTAAAAACATCAATAAAATAGCGTTCTTTAGATAACCTAGCTGAAACGTTTTTACTGTGAAATTTATAAAATGGGAAAATACAAAATTTCGGGTCTTTTTTAGAGCATTTATCTAAATGCTCACTTAAAGGTAATTGTCTGGTTGATGGGTCTCTTATCTGCTGAGCATGAACAGTTTTTCTGTTTCTGAGTTTGTCACCTGTTTGGCCTATGTAAAATTCTTTGCAGCCGTTGCAAACTAAAACATATAAAACATTTTCCAACAGTACAGTCCATATTTTCTTTTGTATGAAATGTTTTATCCTGAAGTTTTAAGAATATCCTTCTATTAAATAATCACAGAGGCCACACCTCTGTTCGTTGCATTTTTTAACACAGGGCATTATATTGTTTTCTTTAAATTCTGAACTTATTAAAATGCTTTTTAAAATTTGGTAATTTGTCTTTTGCATTTTATTATGTTGGTGTTGCTTATTATCTTTTTCATTTTTTCATCATGTTTCAGAATTTCCATGTTTGTTTTAATTATGCCAAACAATTCTCTGTTTTTCGGGTTACATGTTGAAATATATGGAAGAATTTTGTTTTTTTGGTTGCTCCTTAACTTGAAGTAAGGTGGTTCGGGGAATCTCCAAAGCTTTTTTAATACCTGTTTTTATAAGTTGAATTGGAAATTTTCTTTTAATTAGAGTGATGGCGAGTTCCTTAAGTCTAATCTTAAGTATTTCCTTATCAGATACAATTGCACATATTCTCCTTGCTAGCGAAAACGGGATATTTGTTTTAATGTGTTTTGGATGACACGATTTAAAATTTAGATATTGTTTAGAATCAGTACTTTTAAAATATACATCGGTGACTATATATGTTCCTTTCTTAATAACCATTACATCTAAAAACGGAAGTCTGTCTGTACTTTGTTGTTTCTTAAATTGTATATCTTTATGAAGTGAATTAAGTATTTTTTCAAAAATATATAAATCAATTAGAGATCTTTGCCAAAATATAAAAAATCATCCAAAAATCTTTTCCAGTTACATTGAATATAATTAGCAAAATCTTCACCTTTCTGTTTGTTAATTTCTGAATACAATGTTTCTTCTAAATAACCTAGTACAAGTGTTGCATATGTTGGAGCAACCTTTGTCCCCATGGCTGTACCTTTTACCTGACTATAATATTGATTATTAAATGAAAAAAATATTATTTTGTAAAAAAGAAAATATGGACTGTACTGTTGAAAATGTTTTATATGTTTTAGTTTGCAACGGCTGCAAAGAATTTTACATAGGCCAAACAAGTGACAAACTCAGAAACAGAAAAACTGTTCATGCTCAGCAGATAAGAGACCCATCAACCAGACAATTACCTTTAAGTGAGCATTTAGATAAATGCTCTAAAAAAGACCCGAAATTTTGTATTTTCCCATTTTATAAATTTCACAGTAAAAACGTTTCAGCTAGGTTATCTAAAGAACGCTATTTTATTGATGTTTTTAATCCAAAACTTAATACTACATAATGACGTTACTATTTTTAGATTATGCGTACACATGTGTACACAAAAACGTCGTCGTTACTATGCGACGACGTCATATTTGCCCTGATGATCATAAGAGAAACCGGTTGGCAAATAATTAAATAAGTTAACTCATGGACTGTGTTTTTTGTTTTATTTATATGTGACTTTTTTCCGGTACTTGTTTTCATTTTTTGTATATATATATATATATTCTTACAAAAATATTACAACATGGTAGCATATAATGAAGGTCTATTTTGTTCTATATACGTATCTAAAATATCTACTAGTCTATCTGCACCTTCTCTAGCTTCAACACGTAACTGTCTACATCTCAACCACCATTCTAAATCCTTAATCATTGATAGCATCACACATATGAATGCACACATTATCATCAGCGACGTCCAAGAAACAAATTGGCTCCAGTAACGCTGTTGGAATTAAACCAGGGTTTATCTTGGACATCCGTTGGTAGTTTATCGTAACCAGTCATTTTCAAGTAGATGCAAGCTGGTGACCATTTTTCGTGTTCCCTCCAAGGTTCGTCCGTGGGTTCCCATGACGCCAGATTCACACCACAAGCAAAACAAATCACTTTGTCCGCAGTGCCAGTATAGTAAAACCCGGCTTTAGTCAATGCTTCTTTACTGGGTCTAATTTGTTTGGACCAATGTTCAAACGTGTGTAGTCGATCTTCATAAAACATCATGTCTGGATTGTTAAATCGGTTAGTCATGATAAAATCGCTCTGGTCCATGCTATTCGTTTGGTGTCTTCTGATAAATGGATATCGTGTGTAAATTATCCTAATAAACGTATTTAATGTTAGTGATTGGTGGTTATTTTTAGAAACGGTTTGTCATTGGTTAATGTTTTTAGAACACAATCACGTGCCTTTACCAATTCATGAAATCGTTTGGGTTGCATTCTGAACACTGTAACGTTCCCATCTGATTCATATGATCGCTTTGTAGGTAACAGGGCACCACAGAGTCCAATTCTGGTAGATTTTTACCGATGTCAGGTATTACTTCTTTCAATTTCACGTACTCTGCTGGTCTTAGGCACAATCCTTTCTTAGTTGGCACAACATCGTCCTTGGGCTTCCAGTATTGTCGAATATCAACGCAAACACACCCAGCTTTAATCGACATGTACACGTTTCCTCCAAGATGAGCATTGTACACTTCTTTCTTTCCTAGAGATTGATCCACAAATTCCACTGCGTCCACAACATTTTTCCATCTCATCAACGTTAAGCTGATGCCCTTCTTCGTCGGTTTATCTCCTTGCCATTCCCTTAAGTCTACTCTCAGCTCGCCTTTCCATTCATTCACTTGCACGTAACGTTCATTACCGAGACTGTACTTGCATCTGTAGCTTGCCATGTTTCTTGTTCGAGTGTCAGAACTCTAATGACCTTGGTAATCGTTATACCGTCTTTTTATAGATCAAAGTCTCTTCTGATTGGTCCACTTTCTCTTGCATCTGATTGGCTGTTGTATGATGCAATCTTTTACCTGATTGGTTGATCACTTTCGTCATGATCTTATTATAGAAAATCATGTCCAAACATGTCTTATCAATCAAATCATTAGACAACTGGATAAGCAGATATTACAAAAATTACCTTTTTTGTCTTGGTAAATATCACTTTGATCTTATTGCTTGGTTTATTGGTATGCCCCAAAAGTCCAATATCGTAACTGAAAGTTTTAGTCAGTTCAAAACGTTTGCCATGCTTTTTTTCTGTGTCAGGATTATGTAAACACGTTTGGATAGCACTGTACATGACATATTCATTAAAAAACACAGAGGCACTCCAGTTATATACATCCGGTATGTGCCGAAAGTGTAAACGTAGGTTTCATGATGAAGTTGTTCATGAAATGAATAAGTGTTCGTCCCTAGAAGGTCTTTTATAAATATAAACCAATCAGTAACGTCATGTTTGGTTAGCCAATCAGAGCGGATTTCAAGTTAACCAATCACAAATTATGCTTAATACGGGTTACGAACAAGCTTAAACGTAGCTAAAACTGCAAAATACGACATCAATCACAATCACCATGATAAATAAATGCGTTCAATATACCCTTCAATGGATTGCTGAGGAAAAATTAATATGATTAGACACAAAGATGCTAAAAATCGGTGAAGAAATAACAAAGTTTTGGAGGTTCAAAGTTTTAATCACTACAAACAAGGGAAATAACTTTCAATAAAACGGACAGAACTCTTTCGGTAAAGTACTAAATTCTAAACCCCAGTATCTCAAAAAAGATACACCCATAAAAGTACATATTTGCAAAATTGCAGTGACGAGATCTTTCGAATGTTATCAGTCCCGAAACTCTAGAATGATTTTAGAAAATTGATTTAAAAAAAAATCGCTATTACGTCATAACTGGAAAACGGAAAAAAATCGAATCGATAATGGGGGTGTAAATGAAAGGTATTGAAATGTTCTTTCAATTGGTAGTAAAAAATTAAAAAATCATATCGTAAACGGTTGCCCTAAAGAGGAAAAAACCGGTTTGTAGCTTAATTTCATTGAATGAAATTGCTCAAAAATATAAGCAAGGGAATAAAATTTCATTCAAAGTGTAAATAACAGCATTTTGTAGACTAAAAAATAAAAGAGTATTAGGTATAAGTCATAATTCTATAAGTTGCAACATTTTCTACAAATTTTAATCCTTATTTCAGTAGTCTGTTTGCATTAAGTAAACATTTCGCTGACTGGGACCCTCGAAAAGTAAATACTAACACCTTTTCTGGCCAGAAAGTAAATAATAACACCTCGGCCGGCTAAGGTTGTTTGCTGATGAACAATGACAAAAATAAGTAAACCCTAAAATGTTAATTTCATGTATAAACTTGTAAGAACTTGTCCAGTCTTGTTTGAGACCCTTAGTTAACAGTACGTTTAATTCATATTATTTACATATTTTTTTTTTCATTTTAACAATGAGTTTGGATTATATATGTTGTCAAGTTGCAGCATTCATGTTAAGCTGTATGACAAATATAATTTGTTTTACGATGAAGTTCGGTGATGTTTTAAATTTATTGGTAATGGATGGTACGGGATCATATCACTTTGGTGAGTTGTATATAAATATATTTATGTATGTATTCTTTGAATTAGTTCATTCTTTTTGAAATATACAAAATTTCGCTCTTTTTTTTTCAAGTTGTAAATATAAATTCATTTTATTTACTCCTGTAGCAGTTGTTGTCATTATTGCACCGATTTGAGTATGTCCGTCTTGTCTGTAACATAATTTATTTATATCATATCTCCATAACCCTTTACCAAATGTGAATAAAACTTAATAAATAAATGACATGTCTTTAACATTTTTTTTCTTACAGGAGAATGTCGTGTGACAATACGAAATGGCAGTAAGACACGCGTAGTTAAGCCATTAGAGATAATGTCCTATAATCCGGCAGATCAAGTGACAATGAGAGTTCGAGTTGGCAAATGCTTTGAGACCGAACACACACAACGTTTCGTAAGGGGTAGAATGGCAATTCAATAAAAAAGTAAGTAATGTATGTTTAATACGTAAGTTTTTGTTTGAATGTGTTGTGGTATTAAATTTATGAATATTTTGCATTTTCTAAACTGAACAATTTAAAAAATGAGGTTTCTGTTTTCTATTTCTGTAACAGATTATGGCTATTCTAATGACACTGTTAGAACATAACGTGTGGAGTACAAATACATCAACATTGTTTTGAAAAGAGGCAACGGTTTAGTAGATGGGATACAAGTGAAAGGTTACCAACAGGGGACAGACATTGTAATTTATGAGAATGAGCACGCATCTGAAAGTGATGTTATTGGAACATTTTTACACGAATTGGCTCATTTTCTTACTCCCACATATATGAAGATCATGGATATAAGTTTTTAACAACATGCAGTATGATAATGACCCTTGTAGAAAACCAAGTAATGAGAAACATGCAGTTTTGTGCGTCAAAATCTGGAAGTAATATAAAAGATGTAGGGAAAAGCAAGAAGTTAAAGAATTACATAGTTTTTGAAAGAAACAAATTTAAACTGTTTTGGTTATATTTCTCCTTACTTCGTTTACTATTGAAAAGTTATCCATGTATCCATGATCTCAATATATGTTGGGGATAAAAAAATGTAAGCTTGAATCAATCAAAAAATAAATTGTAGATATTAAACAGCATTCATTAGAACTCATTAGAATTTTATTTTTACTGATGTTTGTTTTAACCTTTTTTTTCATTGGTAATAGTTTAGTATTTTTATTTATTAAGTTTACATACATCACATGTACCATTGTTTGTCTTGATTAAACACGATCTTTGTCATTTAAAGAAATCATTGTGCATAATTTCAACGGTTCATGAAATACTGTGGTTACACGAACAGGAATAACTTTACAGTTGAATAGGATATTGTTAACTCTTCCGAACTTAAATCAACACCCGCCAAACTGAACGGCTGCTTTAAAGAGATTCATTTTAACAGTTAAATGGACCTTTGTTAACTCTTTCAAACTTAAATCAACACATGCCAAATAATGTAAACAAGCTAGCCTTGGCACATGAATAGACCATTATTAAAGTATTCTTCCCTAAATAAACAAGACGCCAAATATCGCGGCGACTTTAAAGGGATTCATTTTGACAGTTAAATGAACCTTTGTTAAAGTTTCCGTCCTTAAATAAACACACGCCAAATAATGTAAACAAGCTAGGCTTGGCACTTGAATAGACCATTGTTAAAGTATTCGTCCCTAAATAAACACACGTCAAACAGCGTGGCAACTTTAAAGGGATTAATTTTAACAGTTGAATAGCCTATTGTCCGCACATCTGCTCTTAAATCAACATACGCCAAACATTGTTGACATTCTGAATAAATTAATTTTGACACCTGAATAGCCTTTTGTCCGTTTTTAAATTAGCTGATGAGGTCATTAGAACCGGTCATGCGTATTAAGGAATGCAAAAAACTTGAAAGAGTCATTTCGTTGCTAAACGCCGAGAAGTCAACATCGTATGTATGTATTTTACGCAAATATTTATTAAATTATTTTACAGTAAAAGTACTTATTATTATCTTATATAGAAACATTATTTGACTGACTCATAATATCGAATTAAATTGAAAATAATTTCATATATTTTGTTATATGTTAAAAAAGTTTATAAAGAAACACATTTAAACTAATTAATTGTCTTATTCATTGTTTTATAGAGAGTCAATAAGTCAGTCAGTTTTCAATTATATCTTATTACTAACGCATTTTCTTTTATTTGGAATGTTTATAGAAAAACACATTTGAAATAATATATTAATATTGAATTAAGTTTTTAATACTATTTTTATTAATAATGTTATATAAATAATACAGACTATTATTTAAATACAAAATGTCCTAATTAAAAGGTAAGTCATTTTATTCATATTTTTTATGGATACATGTGTATAATTTTCATTTGAAATGTTATCTCCCCGTCTAGGGCCGAGGACCTGACCTTCAATGTCCGCGATTCAAGCCCTAAATCGTGTATACAAGTCAGCTCCGTATACTTCCGGGAGACATATAGTAAAATTTTTTAAAAAAATCTTGAAAATGTCAAGTATATTTATTAATATTTAGCAATTGAACATGTACAGCGTATACATTTTGTATTTGAAAACAAAGCAATCAGGTGCTGGATGAAAATTAGTTAACAACAAAACGCGATTAAAATTACAAAATG